CGCAGGTCCACGAAGTGTGGCAGCACAGCTTGTGGCATGTTTATGTCCTCTCCCGTGGGAGCGCCGTTCATTGTACAATAGTTGCAACAAATTTTCTTAGAATTTTGACGCATGTGCCTGCGTTGCTTGTGGTGGTTTGATCTCATCAGACTTAGTGTATCTGAGCACGCCAAACTGTTCACTCAAGGTTGGAAAAGGTCCCTGTCGGGGAGATTTCCGACGGGTCCTCCCGCCTTTTCCATCACTATAAGTCAACCTGTACTAAATCAATTTGAAGCGCTGTACAGAAATACGATTTCCAATAAGTCATTAAAAGAGTAAGGAGCAACTCGAGAAATTCCCTCACCACTTTCTTCATTACCTTCATTGCGAATTCATCTGCTTCTGCCTCGGCCTCGGCTGCAATCACAAATTTAGGCTGTTCATCAAAATCACTATATTTTTTTATTCATACATTTAGATAGACCCATAATTCGTCCCAAATACTACTCAAACCCGGGTTTCTTCTATCAGATTCAGTACAGAAAAAGATGTGTTGGAGTGCTGTAGGGGCTGTTATAATGTGAAGGTCTCTATGGGATGAAGGCAGTACAAGTAGAAGAAGTCAACTTGTCTGAGGTCCAGAGCCCTCAGTGGTCCTTTTCACGAGTCTGGTTTCAATTCACCGTCTGGGAGGGTAGACGGCTTTAGTTGGGATTCGAACCCAGTTCCGTGCGAGTGGTAAGCGTGCGCGTGCATTACACTATCTCCGCCGGCAATTGTTCGCAGATTACCAAGGACAGTTCACCGCTTATACCGTGCGGGCTAATAGCTAACCAATTTTACGCGCGCCGTCTCATTACGAGACCTGTGAGGCTGCGTTCATACTTCGCGCAGCGTCCACTAGCGTTTCGAGCGTCCGGCAGCGCCAGCGACTGGAAAAGTATAGATATCGATCTAGCGTCTGCCAGCGTCTACCGGCGTGCAAAGCGTTTCCCAGCGGTTCGCTAGCGTCACCAGGGCCTGGGAAGCATAGGTATCGATCTAGTCTTTGCCTGCGTGTGCCATCGTGCACCAGTCTACTAGCGTCTGGGAGACGAGGGCATGGTGCGATAGGAGGGTAGCAGACTGATTGTAGAGAGTATGGTGCGATAGGCGGGAGGCAGAATGGTAGAGAGTGTGGCGCGATAGGAGGTTACCTGCTAACGCTACCTTTCTATCGCGCCATACTCTCCTCTCCTGGGCGCTGGTGCACGCTGGCAGACCTGGATCGATACCTATACTTCCCAGGCCCTCGAAAAGCTCGTAGACGCTGGTGAACGCTGGAAGACGCTGGTGCACACTGGTAGACGCTAGATCGATATCTATAATTTCCTAGTCGCGACGCTGCCCAACGGTCAAAACGCTAGTGGACGCTGCCGCAAAGTATGGACGCAGCCTAATGAGACGCAGTAGTAAGTCCGACTGGCTAGCGGCCGATATATGGAACAGTGGGTTACTTCCGCGTCTACGGTGGAACGGAGGTGAGTGTATCGTTTACTACTGCATAAGGCTGCGTTTATACTTTGCGGCAGCGTAGCGTAGCGTAGCGCAGCGTAGCGTAGCGCTTCCAGCGTACGCCAGCGGCAGTGCCGAAGAGAGGATGCATATCGATCTAGCTTCACCAGCGTCACCAGCGGCACGCTGGCGTACGCTAGCGTACGCCAGCGTTTCTCCAGCGTTTCACCAGCGTTTTGCTAGCGCTTGCAGCGGCAGGGGAGAGTGAGGAACTATGTGGCCGTGAGAGAAGCGGAATCGACGTGTATTGTAGAGACCATATGGCCGTCGGAGACGCAGAAGCGATGTGCATTGTAGAGACTATGTGGCGTCGGAGACGCAGAAGCAATGTGCATCGTAGAGACTATGGGGCCGTCGGAGACGCAGAAGCGATGTGCATTGTAGAGACTAAGGGCGAGTGGGAGACGCGCAATCGATGAGTTTTGTACCCTCCAGCTCTCCCATAGTCTCTACTCCCGCCTGCCCTGCTACGCTAGCAAAACCGCACCGTGAAGACGCTGGAGAAACGCTGGCGTACGCTAGCGTACGCCAGCGTGCCGCTGGTGACGCTGGTGAAGCTAGATCGATATGCATCCTCTCTTCGGCACTGCCGCTGGCGTACGCTGGAAGCGCTACGCTACGCTGCGCTACGCTGCGCTACGCTACGCACCGCGCAAAGTCATCAAACTCGGCTAAGATTCGCTGTTGAACTACAACCACATCGCCATGCTTGGGTAAATCGATCGCTTGAAGGTTTAGTGCACACCACGTCAACTCGAAACACTTCTACACTCTAAAGAGGACGATAACGTCGAAATATTAGGCCGATAAATGAATTGTTCCCCCAATACTGGAAGAGACAACATGCAGTACCGAGAAAACCGACGCCATTTTTTCTTCTATTATATTTAGAGAGCTAAACTAACATAAGAACTAACCATGGACTTTACACTGACACTTGGACTTCTTCGCAGGTCTAGAGTGGGAGTCGTCAGGATACGACTTTCTTTCACGTTTGCGCGAAGGGCTGTTGTCATGCCTATAATGACACTTTCAAAAAGCTAGAAAAAAATACGTTCCTATTGATGCGGATCGATAAGGGGCGGGTCATGGGTCAGTGGGTCTGGGCTTGGCGAGCCGCCAGCATGTCTCCAACTGTCGCTAAAGCGGGTTAGCGGCAACAACTGCTGGACAACAACTGATAAGAGCATCTGCGTGGTTTTGACGCCGCGCTAAACCTATCCCTCCTGACATGCCTTTTTATCCGCGGTGAACTAGGCCTACAGCCTTTTTAATTGTCATCGTTCATGTATTTAAATGAATATATCACTTACCTGCTGGCATCTGCCTGTGCTTCCGCATCAGGATCCGACTGCGCAGGGCGACTGAATTGGAACTAAATAAATCTTTATTATTTCAGTGACTCTGAACTGCAAGAATTATGGCCGAATTATGAAAAATCACAGGGAAGGTGCGCCTCCTCGGAAACACATCGACAATACGGGCCGGCCCATCATATACAGAAAACTTGTCGCGAATATCCGTGCCGTCCTGAAAGTTCACAAGGAATTACCGAGTTGTTCGTTCATTCTAATGAGCAGTGTGCAAAGGCAACGCTGAAATCATCTAGGGTAGAAAATTCTCCAGTCGCATTTGGATACAAAAGCAGTGGGCACGCTGCCGAGGCGGGCGGTTGTCGCCAACGTCATTGGTGGAAGAGCTGCTTTGAGGTGTAGCCAGTTGCCTTCTCGCAGCCTTCCGCCAATGACGCTGACAAAACACGCCCGCCCCCAACAATCGGGTCCACTGCATTCAGGGTCTAATCTTGCTACTATGCAACTAGGCACATTCCCCTGATTCTATTGACGAGGTCATTTGCGCAAATGTACCGTTCTCATTGGGGAACCCCTTCTTCCAAAATCGAAACATCATGGCACCTGTGGCCCCAGTTCAGCATGGGAAGTGTCTTCAAAAGCACCAAACCCGTAAAGCCTTTTTGTGGGCGCAGAAGTCAAACTGTGTGTAGCACCAGCAATGCCTTTGAAATGAGGGGAGAAATTGCAGACGATTGCAACTATAGGTTCGTTTGGATCAGCATCGATGTAGCCCCAAGCCTGGCTTGCTGGCTGTAACGGAACAGAGACCACCTGCATTTTCCAACTTGAATACGAGTAAGGGGAAGGCTGAGTATTCGCTCTACCGTATTATAATCACAATGCGTCATTTGTCATTTTTTTTTCATTTGTCATTTGCGCCAGAGAAGCAGCAGTTTTTTCACTTCAAGGGTGAGTATACTAGTGTACTTTATAAAAGAAGCGATAATAGTACTAGCGTCGATGTTACTATCCGACCATTTGTGGGCGGGCAGTTGCAGTGGGCGTTCGGGTAGGCACGATTGGGGATGGAGGGGGGAGGCGAGTGGTTGTCGCCAACGCATTTGTGGACGGAGCTACATTTGTGGGGTGTGCTGTTGCCAAACACCCTCTCATAACCCTTACATCAATGAAGGTGTCAGCAACGGCTCGCCCCCAGCAATTGCGTCCACGTTTTTGAGGAAAACTGGAGAAGGCTGGTCCTTTGGCCTAGGGGGAAGAGGGAACGCCTTGCTCTACCGCCAGTCTTATGTCAGTTCCCAGAATTATACGTATCACCTTGACTGGAGACTTTTGTTTAGCATTAGTGAAGCTCGTGGTACTGCAGGGTCTTACACGGCTTCATAGGTCTTTATAGAAAACATCCGCAGCGGTCGATCTGAACCGCCCCATAATGCTTGACTGCGCCCGCTAGATGAACCAAGTTTTAGGTGCAAGACGTCAGGCAAAATTCAGAGAACGAAAAAATATGAAAGGATCAATTTTGGTTCTGCACGCTGAACTATTGAGTGTTCAAAACCATGCTGGAGCACTCCTTATTACTAGATGGAGCAGCAGTAGTCTTTCATGTCCCTGCAAGTGTAAACAACGTTAAATTCAGGACATTTTATGTATTACTATGACACTTTGATATGGTAACCGAATAGGGCACAAGTGGCTCCGATTCGGTACCTACATTCTACATACCTGAGATGCGGCAGGCGTGGCAGTGTGCTTCACTGGAACATGGGGCAGAACGATCAATTCGTGGCACTTCAATTCGAGACAAATGTCGTCTTGCCTTACACTGGACAAAGGCATGATTGGAGTTGACCCAAAATGAAGAGATTCACAATCAGCTCAGACGCTGCCGCGTTCAAAGCAAGTACGCAGCTACGCCTACCGCATCCCTGGGATTTGGGGTATAGCTAGAACGATTCTTTTAACCTTGTTTCTGTGTTTTATTCAGAATGTGCCAAGGCAAAATGCCGAAAACAAGTGCATGTCAGTTCGAAGTGTAATCCCCAACCCGATCGAATTCCAGAGAAACCTTCCAAAAATGATTTTATATCACAGAACGAAGTAACCACCCGTTCATTTTTCTTGTGAAAAAATAAATAGCTCGTGTTACCGGTAAAATTGTGTTAAAATGGCATCGGATGAACGGCCCCTCAGTAGCTTCGACCGCCTGTATGTAGCGCTCCGTGGTAGGATCCCCATCAACTTCCTGAAATGATATGATATAAGAATTAGAGATGCTGGGTACTCACTTAAAAATAGTAGCAGGGGTGCTGCGTAGTGGAAAAATGACGAAAAAGCGAAGGCGAACAGCCGAAAACCGCGAGAAGCCTTTGCTTTGCAAGGCATTGGACGAGCATTTTTGGACGAGTTTATCGTTGGCATCATACCAACAACTGCTTTGCTAACAACCGCTTCATCCATGAACCCATGTAGCTTCATATCAATTGTACTTTATAAAAGAAGCGATAATAGTACCTGCGCCGATGTTACTGTCCGACCATTTCCGGGCGGGCAGTTGCATTGGGCGTTCGGGTCGGCATAATGCACCCGGATTAGGCGCTATGATGGCCCCCCTGGTTGGAAAAGGCGCCAAGTAGCCACACGGGATCACAAAATTATTTCGTGCTGAGCGTATTTACCATTTACGCTTTGCCAATTTAGCGCACCCTTGCCTTTAGCTAGTGTATTTATGGATGATGGTCAAAAGTAGAAGGTTGAAGGATATGGTGACTGGCACACAAGACCTGTATCGCGCAGAAAACTACCAAACCAAATGCCGGTCTCGTATAAAGAGAGGCTCTTACCGTGGCCAAGGTAGAGCACTTCAGAGGCTCATAGGAGTAACTTGACCCTATGAAAGGTAAGAAAAACGCCCGCCAGTTGCTGGAAGTACGGGTACTACCGACGAAAGACGTTAAGCAATAAGGTGTGTGAAAAAGCCTAGCGACTACACAGTAGGTGAAAGATACTGAAGCGTTAGCAACAACATCTCAGCGAAACCCCAGCGCTAAATTCGCACGCTCGCGGAAGTCTCGAAAACCGCTGGTCCTCTTCCTTACATCTCAGTGGAAGTGGTGACCAAGGAGTTCAACATCATGTAAAATAAGGGAGCACAAGGAAAAGAGGACAAATCGGCATTCATTCAATATTCAGACACCTTCTTCGGACACGGTAGTTGTTCACGCAAGCACAGAAGACTTGTCGCTTTTGTCGCCCAAAAGTACTCGGGGAATGCGCAGACCGCTTGCGAGGAAGGCAACTCCCCGCCCACTGCCCAACACAACCACCAACCTCCACATCTAAAGACTAACGGTGGAGCGATTATTCCGCTACCAACTCTCTCCATTAGTGATTGGTAAGAGTACAACGCTTCCCCTTTGTCGTGAACACGTACGAATTCGCTTCGACATGGAATTCTATATGAAGCATCTCAACTGAATTTTTTCTGCCTTTTTCTTCACTACTGAGTCACTTACCACTTGTTCATTGGTATTTGAGCAGCACAGCTCACCATTTTTTAACGAAAGAAACGCCTTTGAAGTCACACTGCTAAACGTTGCCTAACTTGCCATGGCGCGCTTTCTATGAGGTATGTTGAGTGAGGGTGGCTGTCGCCAATTTCTAGTTTATTCACGTGTTTCTCAAAATTTCCCAAAAGGCTCATCTTCAGTATGATATTGCGAAGAGGTTACAAAGGTGTGCAACATCTATGACGACTAACATAAGTGGATCTCCCCTATAGGGCTGCATTCATACTTTGCAGCAGCGTCCAGCAGTGACCAATAGCGTCCACCAGCATTCCGAGCGTCCGGCAGCGACAGCGACTAGGAAAGTATAGATATCATTCCAGCGACCTGCAGCTTCTCGAGAGCTAGGGAAGTATAGGTATAGATCAGCGTCTGTCAGAGTCTGTCAGCGTCTAGCAGCGTCCACCACGACCAACACCAGACTGCTGGTATTGAGTATAGGGCAATAGGGGGTACCAGCTGTCTGCTACCCTCCTATCTCTACGCTATCCACTTCGGAACGCCGCTGGTCGCTGACGGATGCTAGATCGATACCTATATTTCCCTAGTCCCTCGATAGGCTGCTGGTCGCTGGTGGACGCTGGTACACGATGGCAGACGCTGTCAGGCACTGGCAATGCTAGATCGATATCTATACTTTCCTAGTCGCTGACGCTGCCGGACGCTCGGAACGCTGGTGGACGCTATTGGTCGCTGGTGGACGCTACCGCAAAGTGTGAACGCAGTTGAACCTAAGAGGTTCGCAGCTGGAGAATTATACTACAGTCTTGCTCGCTGCGGATGATGGGGCGTGTCGAAGGGAAGGTGTTTGGCGCAACGCCAGCCCGTTCTTTCTTTTACCTTCTCGGCAGACGACAAGCTGTACTACCTCATTCTACCATCTCCCTCGTTTCACCTTATCACTCGAAACTGAGCAGAAATAAGGTGATAGCTCGATGTTCCTTATTCTGAGCGCACACCACACGTTTGCGGGCATGTCGCTAGCACGCTTGCTGCAGGAACTACAGGGGGGGGGGTGGCAAAAAGAATCACTTTTCTTCATTGACTAAGTTACACTTTATTAAATTCTGATCGGACATTTTTACCACCATATTGAAGAGCATATCAAATACTATCATGACACTCCGCCACAGCCTTCTGGACGAGCGCCATCGATTCTGGCACGCGACCGCGATGTGGTGCCTGAGATCAGCGAGATAGTCGATTTCTCCGCCACCGTAGACCACCCTATTGAACTCCGCCCGAACCGGGTAATTGAGGGGATTCAGGTCAGGTGACCTACTTGGATATTCCATCTTCTTTAGGTACTCAGCCCCCTTCCATTCCAAGTAGGCGAGAGTTTCTCCAACGCCCTTCATGTGGTGGCACCCAATGCTGTAGCAGTACAAAGTTTCCAAGAAGGTACGGGCGACCACATGTGAGGAGGATATTCTTCACGAGTTGCCCAATGTAACCGCCAGCGCTCACCTTCAGTCCGGGGTCCACGAAGAAAATATTGGTCTTTCCATTCCAGGTACGTCCGGTCCATACCATCAACCCGCGCCTTGGCGACTGCGGTGAAGATGATGTCCTAGACCGTGGCGACGTTGTCGGAGCTGCTCGATGTTGGAGGTCTTCCAGATCGAGAGTACTGGTCTCCAGGTAGCTATCCATGGGTGACTCCATACTAGAAGTTTCGCAGCTGTTTGGAGGTGACATGAATTCCAAAGGTCTTCTCCAGTCAGGCTGCGACTGGAGATGACTTCATATTTTGGTGTACATGAAGGTGATGGGCGAGAGCCAGCTCCTGCTTATCGAGGAACATCTTGGGTATCTTCCGCCCTGGTACTCGTATCCACGTCTCCGAAAACTTTGCTGATATGTGACTCGGTCGAAGTGAGTTTTTTGCCCCCACCCCTGTAGGTGACCACATCCAACAGCGGACGTGTTAGCACATCAGAAAAATTTTGCGGTCCCACAGTACGCTCCCTCCTACTCACCCAAAATCTATTGCGCGTTGAGTCAGGCTTCCAAAATTTGGACAAATTCATTTGCCAATTGATAGTACACCTCCCAGCACTCGCCGCTGATATTCGTTCACCACAACTGAAAACGCTTAGGAGGTTCGCGCAGAGCGCGCGCTTCAGTCGCGCGTTCGGCGCGATCAATGCAGTCGAAAACATGCACATCGATCGCGTTGATTACGCGACCGAAGGGCTGCCGTCGCGAAGTGTGGAGAGCTGCCTTAGTTGCACACGCGACTCCCGCGCTTTAAAGCTACCTAGTTCTTACTTTGGACGCGTGCTGCCAGCGGTAGTCGTACCACGTGCCACAGCACTCCACCTAACGTTTCTGAGCGTCCCCAGCCGTAAGCGCATTAGGAAAGTCGGATATCAGTTATCGGTCTAACGTCTGCCAGCGTCTCGAGGACTAGGGAATTGCAGGTATCGATCTAGCGTCCACCAGTGTTCACCAGCGACCGGGATTAGATAGTACAGGGAAGTAGGATTGTAGCAAACAGCTGAATTAGGCGTCATGAAGTTGCGGCGTGTGCAACCACTCCGCGCAACTGCTAAAGCACAGAATTATGCACATTAAAGCGCGTTCAGACAGTTCCCGCGATGTCCGAACGCGCTCTTAATGTACGGTGTAGTGAAGTTGTACAGTGCGGTTGCACAGGCCGTGGTTTCACAATGTCTAATCCAGCTGTTTGCTACCCTCCTACTTTCCCATACTCTCTAATCCCACTCGCTGGTGCACGCTGGTAGACGTCTGCGAACGCTGTCAAACACGCCGGCCATCGAATACCTATACTCCCCTAGCCTCGAGACGCGCAGACACCCTTGGACGCGGCAGACGCTGGTAGATACCAGATCGATGACTATACTTTCCCAATCGCTGGCGCTGCTAGACGCTCGGAACGCTAGGCTGCTGGACGCTGCTATAAACCGCCGCAAAGTATGAATGCAGCCTGAGCCGGGATACCTGCAATGGCCTGGATCACGGTAGCAGCGACTCACGGAGTGCGAAATCTCTAACATCACGACACGCTGTTGATATTGAGTGGTAGAGAACAGTAAAACTCCCACCGAACGTGAGAAGGCGCAGAGAACGTAATCAGCGTTCATAGTTATGGGCACCCATACGGGACAGTGTATTGTGTTGCTTGTCTCTGTCTTGGTCGCCGTTTGCTTGATAGCAGGCGGAAACATTATAAACATCCAGCTGGTACAATCCTACACAAGACTATAAGTTCAACACAACAATGGGTATGCAGTGCCCCGAAAATTGTGCGTGAAACTAAGTGCGTCATCCCCGTGACTGCACACATATGGACATATCGTAAGACGATTTATTCACAAATGGCTATTAGCCGCCTTTTGCACAACCTGCTGGGTGTACGGTTCATCATTGGGCCGGGCTACTGTGCATGCGCCCCCTCCAAACCAAGCAGGCTTTCAAGATTACACTAAGGTAAAGAGAGAACTGCAATAGCAGAGGTTCTGTTCGAAAGCTCTTCATCTGCAATTATTAAAACTCACCATGAGCAGGCCCTTGGCACCAACATAAAATTCGCAAAAATTCACACGGTTCGTAGGACGTTCGCCGTCCATAGTGCAGGAATATAGATCACCTTGAATGTTGGCACTTCAATCATAGCAAGTAATTTAGTGCACAAAAAACTAAACAGATAATAATGTAATCGGGCAAGGTAGAGAAATATATCAGTGGTAGGTACGATTCTGACGGATGATGGTAAGTTCAGGAAGCATCATCAGAAAAAGAAAAGAGAAAACAAGAAGACGAGTTGCAAGAAAATAAGTGAGAGCATTCAGTTAAAGTGCAATTGGAAGGTTTTCAAACACAAATTTCGTCGTTTCAGTACGCAAGGCTCCAACACGATGAACCATGACAACTCCTTTTCTGGATAGATCCTTTGATGCTCGGGAGCCTGACGGTGACGTGAGAACTAAAATTTGTCGTAATGGTCCTAGCGCGAAACGCCAGAGCGCAGAGGAACTGAGAATTAACTGCCAAGGAATCAGAGGTGCAAAAGAAAACATACCTCGAAAACAGCGAGCTTTTTGAGGGGAAGGGGACTCCGGAATGAGCCTCTTCAGGCGTCAAAGTTTGAATCTGTTAGATCACTCTGGCCAATGCTTACCATGCAGATGTGGCAAAAAAAACAGGAAGTTGGCGCAATTAAAGTTGTCGGCTGAGACCTCCTCAGGTGAGAGCTCATCCAATAAGCGATGGCGCGGTGTGCGCGCGTACCATAAACGAGGTAGGTCGCGAATACGGACAAAAACCTATTTTCTCGTATTCGATCAATAGCACGACAAAAAGCAGCTCACACAGTACCTCGTATTGGTA